AGCCACTCCTTTGGCGGGCGGGCGTGCCCCAGGCAAGCAGGGGTGACACCTGTCAGTTACAGTCTGCCGCATGACTGGCAAATACAGTATTCCTGACCTTCCTGTGCGACCTCGACATTTCTGTTTCAGTAAAGTCAGAACGGAGAGAACACACTGTAGGTAACTGTTGTAGTGTAATTTTACCAGCATCTTATATCCATTTTGCTAAGTCAAAACACCACACGTGCCTGTTTTTCACAGCTTGTACAACTGAACCATTTTCTGTCACTTCTTTCTCTGTCCCCAGAGTACTTCTCAACCAGTCCTTAAAAAGCTTTTTCACCAAGCACACCATCACAAAAATCTTCCTTCAATCTAGTAGGAAGGACATTAAAGTGTCCTTACTATTCACATTAAAATGCCACCATGACTGACTTTATTTCTTCAGCTTTTCTCCATATATCTGGAAGCACCCATATTTATTTAGTCTTTGCCAGCTGTCATGTACAGAACACTGACTTGTTCTTACTTCAGAGAAATCAGCTACTAAGTAATTGTTTTCCAGGATCCAGTTTGCTGTGGACAGACGTTTCTAAGTGCATGCAGATCTGTTTAGCCAGCTGCTTGTACAAACAAGTGTAACAAGTCACAGGTAATTGTTTACACATAGTGTTTATTGCAAATTACTGTCACTTCCTCAGGATGTTAGCGTGTTTTATAACAAAGCTCCAGTGGTTTGTTTTCTAGCAAGGGCATATATACACTGATGATGTGCTTTGCTAAGTGCTTAGGCTGTCCCATCACCAGGTTAATTAAGGAAAGTCTGTAGTTTAATATTTAAAAGATTACTTATTTTACAAATGTACACTTCCACAGACAGCAGTGATGGTTTCTATAGGGGATGAACAGAGATTACTTAAAAACGCTCAAGGATCATTAAGGCTCTCAACTGTTTTCAGCATTGCACATCTTTTTAAAACAGAAAAAACAGATGGATACAACCTTTGACAGTAATAAAAATTATGTTTCATTATTATTAAATACAATAAAACCAAAAAGACTGCTCCTTTGCAGTCCTCGTCATTCAAGGTCTCCAAAATCTGTGAGACAGAAAATAACCATACCCATTTACCACATAGGGGCAGGGCAGGACAGACACGAAGGGGACTGTACCCATGAGGCAAAGGGTTCAGTATAGATTACTGAATCCTATACTAATCAGTATAGGATTACTATTGCTGGAGAAGTCCAACATAGCACAGAACTAGACTGCAAAGACAGGAGGACAGTGGTTGGGATATGCTTGGGTTTTACCTGTTCCTTGTTTCAATTTTTTTTTTTTTTGGCCTGGCATCACTTTCCTTTTCTCTCTCTCCTCCAGTCTACCTACGCTCTGACTGGGTTTCCATCCAAGATCACCAGATAAATACTATACTACTGAACATCCATATACTGACTTATAAGAAAAAGGGAAACAAGTTATCTTCAGGCTTATGTTCCTCTACAGGAAAAATACTGTTCTCAAAGCAAGATTCTGTACAGATCTCAATTTATTTTTTAATGTTAGCCTAGAAGCTCTAATTAAAAATGTTAAAAATGTATTTCAGCTCTCACTGTAGAATCAGCTTGATACTTCCAGTGGAGAGAGGGGGTGGGAGGTGCATTTCTGGGAGACTGCAGATGCGCTGGTGTTTCAAGCCTCCCATGAATACCTGGGGAATGGTCCCACCTCTTGATGACTATTGCTTTTTCACTATTCTAGAACACATTTAAGAACAAACTACAGGGAGTAACAATAAAAAGTTTTACTGACATACCTTAAAACATGCCTGCACCAACAGCACAGGGCCGCTGGGAACACAGACTCCATGCAATAGCATGCTCATATGGCACAAAGCAATGCACACAAAATTCATATCTACTTACTCTGCAGAAGTATTCCTTTCAGAACAACTTAATGAGATCTATAGTGTTTTTTATCTCTATAACTCCTTTCATCCAATAAAATCTTGGAACATGCAGAACTACAGTAAACTGTCCATCTCTAGGGGAAAGACCAACTATCTACCAATTTACAGCAACTTAACAAAAGCAGGAAGGGAGGATATATTACAGGCAAATACAGGGCTCACTGCAGGAGGAATGCAATTCTCAGTTCTTTTAGTTTCTCTCTGTTACCATTTCCCATTTGTGACAGAGAGGTAATGAAGCTTCCTTCCTTCAACCTTTATCTAATTAAAGTGTAAGCTCTTTGGGGCAGTGAGCTTATTGTGTGTATATATACAGCACCTAGTCCGAAGAAGTCATGAATTAATCTGTGGCCTTTAAATGCTACCCTAAATACAAAGCATTAACAATAAGAATAGGATATAATTTTCATTTAGAATATATGGGATCTGTTTTCAATGTATCATCACAAAGAATATATTACATGCATCTCAGAGAACAGCTAAATTAAGGGTCAGGGAACGAGGTATTTCATACTTAAAACTCCACTCTACCCCAGTTGCCTGAACTATGTTGAGATAATACTGCCTACTGTTACTGCATTTACTGTAAAATTCTTATTACTTGCCCTAATCTTACCAAATAATGTCCAAAATAATCTGGCCTATAGGCCAGATTATCAATCAGATTAGGAGCCTGGTTTGTTCTGAGTTAGTGCATATGACTACTGCGGTAACATACCCAAATTAACCTTTCGCATGTGCAATAAACTGCAATTAGCAATCTGCAGACAAACGGCAAGTTCCATCGTTTCCTGTAGTATGTAACAACATAGAAGCCAGATTTCCTACTGAATCCCATATTAACCTACATTCAGTGGCAGTGAAATCACAGAGCACTGTGTCAGAATTTATCATCTTTCAATGAGGTTAGCTCCACCTCTTGACAGTTCTAGACAAGATGTTTATAGGCAACTCATCCAGAATCCAAACAACTGCAGCTAAAAATGTTTATTATTTTTCCACCAGTTCTTCCAACTATTTTGGATACTTTATACTAGGGGCTGGACCCAGCTCTCAGCACTGTATGGTTGTGTTAATAAACTGCAAGAAATAAAAAGGAGATGTAGTAGTTAGTGGCTTTGTGAAATCTCTCGGACATGGAAGCAGGAAGATGCAGAAATGCCTCTTTCCCACGTGAGGAGGCATGTCTTATAAAAAAAAAAAAAATGGAGAGATGATGATGACAGTTTCCTCCACATGCACTTTGAACCTGGTAATTCCACACCTCTCCATATTATAGAATTTACAAAATTTTTTTTTAAATAAAAATCTTCTGGGACAACTTGTGAAAAGGTTATTTTTGCCCTAAACCACAAAAAATCCTCAAGCCTTTAACAAGGTTTGGAGACACACAGTCTCCAAAAAATGTTGATATATTAATGCAAATTATTCTAGTTGCTACTGGGTT